TTCTTCCGGAAGACTGGATATGTTTTCATGTGCCCCTGCTGTGCAGTAAAGGGGGGGTGCTGCAATTGTCGGACAGTGATGTCACTGACTTTTTGTCAACAAAAAGATCAGACATGCAAAATATTTTGAAATTTATCTCCGACACGGGCCAAGGTGCACCGCCGCGCGTAACGGCGCCAGACAGTGCGCCGTATCTCAGAACGACGTGGTTGAAATTAAAGAAAAAATATCTCAATCGATTGCTCATGTGAGCAATCGATTGAGATATTTTTTCAAGCTGTGAACAGCTTGCTACGTATAAGAGTGTAACAACCCAAAAATACAAAACAGGCATACTTTTCTATTTTTTTAATTTGCTTCGATGTCCGATCTTTGTGCGCGGTTGGGGTGCAAAAGTGTCCGCGCGCTTCAATCTCACTCCTCGTCTTTGTCCGTGCTTGTTTTTCGCCAAGTCCCAGTAGACGAACGGCTGAGAGTGTTCCCGTCGCAAGACATAAAAAAATGGTGATTGCTTGACAATTACAAGTACTTTTTCCTTTTAATATTGAGGTTTTTGTCCGACATTTAGAGCACCCCCCTTTACTTCCCTTTCGTGAAAGTCGGGGGAGATAATTTGGAGTGGCACGCACACGCAAAACAATGAGAACAGCAATACAGGAACATTCGAGAGACGACTTGAGGTTTGTGAAAAAAAAAAAGGGTGGGAACTTGTTACACACGTGTCTATCACAAGCATATCGTGCAGTCCATTGTTCATGCATGCATACATGTGTTGACGCATTGCGTTTGTTGAGGGGGGAAACATATATAGTACGGTAAGCATTCCTGCAATGGGAGGACTCTGGTTGCGTGTGCGCAGTACGCGGAACAAGTGGAACAAGTGCGCGAGGGGGCGGCGCGAGGGGGCGGGGTTCTCAAGACTGTTGGGGAGAAGAATGCCAGAGGAGTGGCTCTCTGTGGATGTTGCGGGATCTCGGGATGAGGGATCTCGGGATGCGGAATCTCGGGATGCGGAATCTCGGGATGCGGGATCCCGTTATACAGAGGTCGCGCAACAATAAGAGGCATTACTGAATGTGAAATATGATTATTATGATGGTGTGAAATACGGTAAACGGCAAGACAGACTGTAGGTGGATTCCACAACGGGATCAAGAGTTAACTCGATTGGCATACACGGTACCCTTTGTAGCGACGTAACAGTAGCTATACAGCAAATAGCGAGTACTGTACTAGCACTGTTGGTGTAGGAGAGCCTAAATGTGTGTTTCGAAATGAATGCAATACCCAGGGTATATATCCTGTCTTCAGCAACATTAATGACGCCCCGGCATTTCGAATTCACATTACTTGTTACTACTTTTTTACTTGTTGTGCTTTAAGCCCCGTACAGCATGGGATGACGTCGTGCTCCTCCTGTTACGTCGTGCTCCGCCTGTTACGTCGTGCTCCGCCTGTCCTGAGGCCGTCCTCCCCGCAACGCCGACCAATTGCGGCGCACGCACTGCACCATGGCACTTACGCGTACCTTCGCCTCAAATCACTTTCCGCGCCCTCTTGGGCGGTGCAAACCGCCAGCACGGCGGCTCCATTCCACCACCGCCCGACACGTATACTCTACCACCTGTCAAGAGACACCCTCAAGTCTGCCCTGTCTGCCGCCATTGCGAGCCGCCTCGAATGACGCCCGGTCCTCGGGAGACCGCTTCTGCCTTGCTCTATTCTATGTACAGTATCCAAAGTCGCCCTCCCTGTCTGCCGTGGCATCTGCGCCGCGCTTTCGTCGCGCGCCGTGACGAAAGCGGCAGTGCCGTGGGCCGCTTGCACTACCACCCAATGCGGGACACACCCCAATGCACAGTGACAGTGTGCATTGGGGTCCCGCATTGGGTGGTCCCGCATTGGGTGGTGTGCATTGCACACCCCAATGCAGAGCGCCTGCGTCAGCCCTTTGCCCGCCTGCGTCAGCCCTTTGCTCGCCACTGCTCAGCGCTCAGCGCCGCGTGCGGAAAAAGGAGCATAGGATATAGCCCCCCGGACCTGCCGTGCGAGAGCCGCCCTCGAGG